TTATACGGGGGCCGCTCACGATTCAGAGGAAATGAAACTGACTTTTGCACTTTCTGTAAATAACGATTGATTTATCAATAACGATGACCTCTTTCATAATTAATTAATCAGCTACTGCATAGTAATTAGTCAATGGATTTCGCTCGATAAAGCTTCATAATAACAGAGCAGCTAATGGCCTTGCGATCTATATTTTTATTTTCATTTCAGAAACCTTACTTTGACTTCGGTTTGTTTTACTTGTCAATGGATTTTTCCCTTGAAACTTCAGTTTTCTGTAAATGTACACATTCTTTACCCAAACATGGATGCAGTAGAACACCAACATTAGGTTATATAAAGACTCAAAGCCCGAAAGAGCAAGACCTGCCCGGTGTTATTTGATTTAGGGCTTGAACATGCTGTGTAATCTACAACACGTAAGGATTAGATGGGTTTTATGTCCTCTCTGAGGTTAGCTGTACACTTAAAAACTCTTTGTTCAGAGCCCCTTCAAGGCTGAAGTTTACTTGCGTGTTAGTGAGTTTGTGTGTATTTATGTGTGTTTTAAACGGAACCTTGATTCTGCCCTCCATGTTGATTTGTGAGAGGCCACTAGAGGATCAGCTCAAGGACGTGAACGCGCACAGGTACCTCAAGTTTAATGTAATATTTTGTCGCTACAGTGGCCTTTATTTAGCCGGGTTCTCCTTGACGTCCCAAAATCAAAGCCTCGCCCTCCAGAAAGCAATCTAAATGCCAGATAATGCAACACATATTCATGCACTTTGCAAAGCTTACTGCAGAAACCACAATCAGTTCAAATATCTTAGAAAAAATACCTTTGTTAAACGTCGGTGCATCACATTTGCCACAAAATGCACGGGTGTGTTTGCGTTTCTACTTGTAGATCCTGCTATATGCTTATACGCTTGTTTGACGCAATGTTAAGGCAGAAATCAAACAATATGTTCCCTGGTTTTAACAACAATGGCCTTGCTTGACAAAGCAAAGATAAGAAGAGAAGGACAGCAGTCTGATGGTGGCATTTGCACCCTCTAATTAAGATGTGGTTTGCAGAGCTTGCAGAAGTGAACAGAAAGTGATGTTAAGTGAGTTAAAGATAAGACATAAATCCGGTTGTTTTGCCATGTTGCTTGTAAGGCTCAGTATTAACCACAGACTGTAAAGCTGCATGCCACTGGGCCCTGTGTGACAGTGCACTAAAGGAAGTCTCAGTGGCTTTTCAAGAGACGCGGCGGCGGTGCACGCGTTAATTAGAGCACGCTGCTGCTGTTACGCTACGTGTGACAGGTAGTATCAGGCCACTGAGACTCTATCGTTTCGTCTAGCTCCTGGCTAACCCAACTGCCCCAGCCCCAAGAAAGAGAGAGGAAGAGGAGGGGGGGAGAGGGAGACGGGGGGTCTGGGACAAGGAGCCACCACCGTGTTTGCTGTCAGGCCTACATGCTGTGGGCCATGACTCAATGGCACTGATCCAAATAGGTGAGGCATTTGCATTTCTAACAGAGGAAAGATTGGCAGTGAAACTTTGCAGGGCATCCTACAAATGCAGAAAATAGAGACAAGCATCACTGAAGAAATATTGAAAACCAGAATGCTGCAGCCTTAAATGTGCTGTCGATTTATGAAATGGGGTGTTTTAAAGTACTCCTAGGTGAAGATCACATGGAAATATGAAGAACTGAGACTGTCTTTTTCTCTTATTCAAAATAACGGTGTATGCAATTTTTGACAAAATGCCAGCCAAAAGTGCTTGCTGCTCTGCAAATTTGGTTTTGGAGGCTTTTTCAGATTTGTATTAAGCGTGCCGATGTTTAAGAGCAGATGTATTTCGATTTTAATGACTTTGTTTGGTTTGAGATAAGGCTTTTGGCTTGGAGTTTCTGCTAATTATACTGTGGAAAATATGCACTTTACTGATAATTGTTCCGTTGTGATGCCTCCCTTAAAGTATTCCCAGTATCAAATTTATTTATTAATGTATTCATTTCTTTATTTATTTATAGATGCTCTCTAAAATATTGCATACTGTGTGTGTTATTGTTTGCGGGTGTATGTGTGTCAGGCGTCTACGTTCACATATGAATTTAATACTTTGTCTGCCTCTGCAGAAGTGAGTGTTTGTGTGTGTGTATGTGTGTGTGACACCTCTTTAACCATATGAAATGTCCTTTTTAATCAGAAAAAAAAATGAAATGACTTGGGAGCAAGGAAGGCATATTAATGCACTTAATTTGCATATAGTCGTCAGGCGAGGCTATGTTCAAAAACAAACTGGATTCGTCAGTTCATTTCACATTGTTCCTTTGTCTATCTGCCTTTGTTATATGGTAAAGATAAAGAAGGAAATCAAATTGAAGAAAAGGGCAAGCAGTTATCTCTCCAAATGAGCAACTGCTCATCATGCCTTGCTTAAATCATAGATTTCTATTGCAGAAGGCAGTACTAGCCACGTTCAAAAAGGCCCTCGTCTGATATCTGCCAGGATTTGCTGCGACGTCGACAAAAGCAATTTGAACTACTCGCTACCCAAAGAAACTCCAAAGTCACGAGGCATCGCGCTAAACCTAAACATCACCCAGCATTTTTAGGCCTTTGTCTGAAGACCGTTGCTTTAATTAGATGACCTGGCAGAGCGAACCGTCCGTGATTTATATTTGTCTTGCATTTACTCCTGTATTACTTTTTGCTGAATATCAAAAATCCTCACAGAACTGCTTAGCCATGTATAATTTGCAGCGCACATGCTTACCCGCGTGAGTGTGTTTATAACACACCCAGTATTTAAATACATAATACACCTACAGTGTATTGTTCACATCCAGATTCCAGCATTTTTTTCTTTTAAATTCCTCTGAGTTATAGCTCTGGACAAAAGAGGAATGGCATTCAGCAGCAGCCCACAGTGTGTTTAGCAGCGACTGGAAGTGGCTTCAGTGTTTTTATTCATGTTGGAGAGATAAGACTGCAACCGACATGGCGTAGGAAGAGCAAATAGCTAAAGAACAGGCGGCCCTTATTAGAGTTCTTATGAGAGCATCAGCAAATATGTGCTCCAAGCCCACTGCCTTCAACGGCAGACTGCAGAGAGTGTGTGTAGTCTCTGGTTTGATAGTCGTTGTGTGTTTGTCTCTGCAAGTGCACTTTTTTTTTTCTATCCTTTTTTCTTTTTTGTACCAGACCATAGGTTCATCGTCTGTCAACAAAAAAAAATCAGTTGTTTGTTTCCCTGTGCAGTGGAAAAAAACTAAAATAAAAAATACACAGGAGCTGTCATACTGCCATGAGGAAAATTGAAATATAATGTGTCAGCAGCCCATAGACAGAAGGTGCTGAATCATTAGGTAGTCCCTCTCTAATAAGTAAACTGGGTCAATCTGCACCATTTAAAAGGTTTATTAATGACCAAAGGGTGTGGGTTCCCCGGCCCAGAACACTTTACCCTTCCTGAGGCACTGAGTGCGTGAGAAAGGCAAACCAGCGTGTGTTTCCAAATAATGCTGAGAAATTGGATGTAGTTTGGTGAATACCTGCTCTTGCTCTTGTCTTTGTTTGAATGACCACAGTGCATTTACTTCACATTCATAATCATGTGTTAAAGCGCATAGCCACTGTTACCAGGCAGCATACTAATCAGCTTAATGAGATATTATACAATATTTTGTTGACCAAAGCAAAACTCGCTTTATTGTTTCTGAAGCTTGACCCTGTCAGTTGCAGGGGAATGCAGCAACATCATTATCCTTCCTTAGGATGGTGAATAGCATGCTAAATAAGCACTAGCCATCCAGATGACAACAGGCACTGCTCATGTATTGTTTTTAGTCTGACGGTTCATTGGGCCACGCTGTGGCCATTTCAAATAACTGGGAAGCCTCTGATACTTTGGGAACCCTTTCAATAACGCCAACTGTTGTTTTCTTCTCATTGGAAGCCATATGAGAGTGAGAGAACAGAGAGAGGGGAAAAAAGAAGGTGAACACAGAATGATTTGCATCAAACGTAATGTGCCTCTTAATGGAAAATTACGCCAAGACAAGTGTCGCAGCAGTGAGATAAGGGCTTGTGTTTACTGGAGTAACCCCTTGGTTTTAAGTGCTATTGTTAATATCATAATTGTAGTATTGCGGCAGCTTCATGACAATACCATTGCTCCGTTTCATTAAGGCGTGTAATTGGAGGGATTCTGATAGGATGGGACCAAGTAGCTTAATTATGCGGCGCCTTGCCGTGTTTACTGGGTAATTATTGCCTCCAAAATTGTGTTACTGTTTGAGAAAAAGTTCTGAGAGTTGCAGCTTCTCTCCCCAAGTGTGAGAGTACATGTAGTACTTCATAAATCAGAGGGAGATGAACTCACTCTTTTTTTTTTCTTCACACTTGTCACTGAAGTGCAGTCATCGTTGTTAACCATTTCCTCACACCATACTAAGACTGCTGACACACAAAGGGGTACTCAAGAATGAACTGAATTAACTGCCGTATGGTGTGATTCCCTTTGCCAGACAATGCAGTATATAATCTGAGATATAGATCCACACAAACGAATATAACGAGTTTTGTTTCCAAACCTACACCCACTTCAGCAAAAAAAAATAAAACACCTTTGTGTCTGCGCTGATGCCTAAGACAGACTTGACGGCGCGATGCTATTTAACTCGGAAATATGATCTTCACCACACTATACAGTATCTCAAAATGTATGAGAGAAAAGGTCTTTATTTTTCATGAAATCTGAGAGTCGAGTTGATGTTTTTCATGAACAGTTTTAAGACAATGGTAAAGTTAAGAGTGTGCTCAATCTGTTCTGTCCAAAGCATTGTACCTTTACTTCTTACATGATGACCTGCATATCATTTTACTTTCAATTATATATTGTGCAGTGTTTTCTGTTGGTTGTGCACAGAGATAGTACAACAAGTGTATTAGTGGTGCCTTTTTACTGCATACCTCTGAATAGTGGACTCAATACCTGCTCTGTGTCTTTTCTCCTTCAGGATGGAGGAATCTAGTTTGTGCCTTGGTGTATCCTCGGTGGTCTCGGATGCTGACACCCATCTCAGCAACGCAGTACTTAATGGCCGCTACCCAATCAGTCAGAAACTGCATCAGCTGACTGCTCAGCTGGGTCATGCCTTTCCTGAACTACAGAGTCGCCAACAGATCCCAGAGGAAAAGGCAGCCACCCCGCTGGATGAGAAAACCCATGCTGCCTTAGCTAGTCAGCCAATAAGCAGTCAGATGGCCTTACTGGCCAACCAGCTTAACCGTGACATGGATGTGGGAGCCCTGAGTGGTCTCAATGGCCGTGTTGATTTGCAACAATTTCTCAATGGGCAGAACTTGGGAATCATGTCCCAGATGAATGATATAGAAGATGATGCCCGCAAGAACCGTAAATACCCCTGTCCACTATGTGGCAAGCGCTTCCGCTTCAACAGCATTCTGTCTCTTCATATGCGTACACACACTGGAGAGAAGCCCTTCAAATGCCCTTATTGTGACCACCGAGCTGCTCAAAAGGGTAACCTGAAGATTCACCTCCGCACCCATAAACTGGGAAATCTAGGTAAGGGCCGTGGTCGTGTACGTGAGGAAAACAGGCTTCTTCATGAACTAGAAGAGAGAGCCATATTACGTGATAAGCAAATGAGGAACAGCTTGCTGCAGCCCTCTCAACCTCTTCCACCCCAATTGGGTATCCCGAGTCACAACCAGCAACAGCCTGGTTCTGCCTGTGGCCTGCTCACTCCAACCAGTATTGGGGGCTCGCCTGATGGACTGACCCAGCCATCTGCCTCACCTAAGCCCACAGGTACCAACCTGCAAGATGAGCAAGCCCTTAACCCAGCCCAAGGATTCCGGTGCACTTTTTGCAAGGGTAAATTCAAGAAGCGTGAGGAGCTAGAGCGTCACATTCGCATTCTTCACAAGCCCTACAAGTGTACCCTATGTGAATTTGCTGCTTCCCAGGAGGAGGATCTCATCAGCCATGTGGAGAAAACCCATATTACAGCTGAATCAGCCCAGGGACAGGGTACAGGACCGGGCAGTGGAGAGAAGCCCACCAATGAATTTCGCTGTGAAGTTTGTAGCCAGGTCTTCAGCCAAGCTTGGTTTCTGAAAGGCCACATGCGGAAACACAAGGACTCCTTTGAACATTGCTGCCAGATCTGTGGACGGCGTTTCAAGGAGCCCTGGTTCCTAAAGAATCACATGAAGGTACATCTAAACAAGCTTGCCATAAAGAACAAGCCCCCTGTTGGTGGAGGAGCTGATGAAGATAGGCCCTCTATGAACAGCATGAGCAGCCTGGCTCAAGAAGCCCACGCCAACTTGTATTCACGATACATTTCTTGTCTCCAAAGTGGCTTCCTCACTCCTGACAAACAAGGCCTGGCTGAACAGCAGCACCAGATGCTGGCCAAGGCTGGTATAGCTATGAAGGAGAAGGAAATGCTTGGAAAGCTCCTGAGCCCAATGGCCAGCATGGGCCATGGCTTAGGGGAAAATGAAAAGCGCTCACTTTTGGGTTGCCTGAACCTTGTGCCCCCTCTAAAGTCAAGCTGTATGGAACGCTTGCAAGCCGCAGCTAAGGTGGCAGAGATGGACCCCCTGAACAGCTATCAAGCCTGGCAAATCATGGCACGTGGAATGGCTATGGAACGCTCCTTCATGCCAAAAGAGCCGCATCATGGGGGTCACGGACAAGAAGATGAACTTGCCAGTGCAGCTGGGATTGTTCACTTTGGGAAAGAAAAGCTTGAGCACCCTACCTTAGGCTCTAGCGATGGTTCCAAGCAGAAGCAACATCCTGATCTCCTTCATGGAGTGAAGACAAGTGGAGGCATGATGTCCTTGAAAGATGAGGGTGTAAGCTTTGATAGCCACCGTGAGTTCTTGCCTCACCATGGGGGTCTGGGCCTAGGTCAAGGGCTTGAGTACAGCCTGGCTGGCCTAAAAGAGAAAGCAACTGAGTGTCCTGACTGTGGCAGAGTCTTTAGAACCTACCACCAGATGGTGGTCCACTCCCGGGTGCACAACAAGGAACGTCGAACCCTAGAGGAGAGCTCCCAGCATGGTCTGGACGAAAGGCGTGGCTCAGCTAGCGACCCTGAATCTCAGTCCATCAGCCGATCCACCACCCCAGGATCCTCCAATGTGACAGAGGAAAGTGGTGCTGGAGGTGGACACTCCCAAACAGGCAGTGTTCAGGATGACAGTCCCCACCCTTCTTCTCCATCTTCAGGTAAGACATTTTTTAAGATGGTTTAAGAAAGCCCACAGCATTAAGAATACAACTTGAATACCATAAATACTTTAAATTTGGTTTTCAGTCTGGCGTTACAGGAAAAAAAAAAATGTGTGATGTTCACAGGATTCAGTTCTGTTAAATCAATAAATTTAAATAGCAATTATCTAATGGAAGTTTTACAAAGTAGCTCAATTACAAACATAAGAGAGCTGTTTCACAGTGGGATGGAACAACTGAGGAAGAAACCTTGGGATGCCAATTGGTGAAATGGCAGTATCAATTGGTTCAGATCCTTACATGGCACTACCATACTAGCTGTTTCTACCAAGGAGGCTCCGTGATATATTGGTCTTAAACCCTAAAAGTATCAATCCTATATCATCTTCAATGCATAAGTCTGACAATGAATGTTAGTACCGTTCAAATATCCACCAAACACCCTTAAAAGGAGTTAGTATCTTTATTTACTGTATTCCTAAACAAATGAATTAATGAGGGCTTTGGCTATCCTTCGGCATCAATTAATTTATCCAATATATATAGTTTACAATGAAAAAAAAAAAAAAAAAAAAAAAACGGTATTCTATTCTCACAATAGAAAGCCTATGTTGATGTACAAACATGTTACGAGTGATTAAAACATCCTGGTGCATGGAAGAGGGACAGCAAACCCGCCCCATCTGAGGAACTCTGAGCTTTTGAGATAAAATGTATGTTTAGTGGGATTAAGTGAAGCTGCAGCTAATGATTACAGAAGTTTTAAAGGTAACTTTCTCATTCCTTGGGGTGGTACACCACAGTTAAGCAGCCTGGCTGTTAATTAGGTCACGTCTATGTGATAATCAGTTAGCTTAAGCTAAACAAGACACTAATTAAAGATATACATATAAAGCAGGTCAAAAAATAAACTTCATTTGCTGGGTAAAATGTGCTTTTAAGTCATCAAAAAAGAAAAAAAAAAGTGGCTAAGCTTAAGGCTCTAAGCAACTTAATTTCAACAGCAAAGAAGAAATTGTTTATTTATTCCCAGTCCTTATCACCCTCATGTAGTGAGATGAGTTTGAACATGCAATGGGCTATGTTTATTTTAATCTAAGGAATAATAACAGCCAACCCCCACCCCAATTAGGAATTAATGAAAATGAGAAGAAGATAAAACCTATTTTCTTTACTGAGACTATTAAACCTAAACACTCGTCAACAGAAAAGAGGGTATGTTACGGAAGTAATTATCTAGCGAATTTTAATGCAGGAAGTTTTCTTTCTTTAGCATCTCTCTTACTACTACTTAGAGATTTAGCTCATGGCCTTTTATAAACTCTTCTCAAGCTTTTGTTGGATTGGCAGGGTATTTGGAATTAAAGTGATTAGTGTTTAATAATAAAAAATGTTAAGCACTAACTGAATCATGGGACAGAGAATGAAAATACAATTTATTTATTGATTCTTTGGCACTCTCATAGCTTTTATTGTACATAAGTAGACCAGTTTTAATAAACACAAATCTGAGAAATTGGTTATGTGATGTTTTGCCAATGTCACCATTACTTAATATTTCCTCTCTCTCTCTCTCTCTCTCTCTCTCTCTCTCTCTCTCTCTCTCTCTCTCTCTTACCAACTATCATTTGCATGCTCCTTTGCTGTATACTCTGTAGGTTCCCTCTCACTCGCTCTCTTTCCCCCTCTCTCTTAAATAATGACGTATTCTCAGTTGAATTGAAATCTTGGATGTGGCCTGATGTTTTGTATAACAGTGTTTTTGTTTTTGTTTTTTAAAAAAAGTTTTTTTTTTTTGCAGACTGAAATCAGTTCCTTTGCAGAATTTCGCTGTATTTACCCCTTTTCCACCAAAGCATTTTGAGAGCCGGTTCAGAGCCAGTGCCTGTGCGCGAACCAGTTCTTTGTGTTTCGACAGCCCAAAAACCGGTTCGCGGCTAGGAAAACTAGTTCCAAAGCGGCACCGTTCTTTTACCACGTGCTGGGGGCGGGTTTAGATGTGTTCTAAACATCTTTTCTGACCATAATATAGGATCGCAAAGCCATGAAAAACATTTGCAGAAACACGATGGAGTTCGCCTTTGTAATTGTTATGCTTGAAGTTGTCGCAAGCATTTCTATTTTTCTCTTTCTTTTTTTATTGAAAACATTATAAGCAAAGAAGAAAACAGTCACAATATATAACAAATAAATGGAAAGAAAAAAAAGACACAAGACAGGGGTACATAACTAATCAGAAAAGATGGAATGATATAAGAAGTGATTAAAAGACTCACATATTTCAATTGTTTTTAAAGCCTTCTTGGTACACGAGTTAGAAATAATCCCAAAGTAATTTTGTACTTGCAAGCATTTAAGACGTATGGCGACGTACACAGTGACGTAACAACGTCGTTCCCTGACCCTGGGCGCTCCAGTCAGTGGAAAAACAAACAGGTTCTGAAAGGGTTCGCAAGTTGAACCAACTTTGAACCAGCACCAGTTCCCAACCAGTTCACCCTCTGTTCCTTATATTTTAACAAACTCCAAACATTCTCTCACATGATTCTTTATTCTGGTTTCTATGTCAACTAACACATGTATTAATTTGCAACTACATTTCAACTAACTCTTATTAGGCTGTAAGGTTAGGGTTAATGGAATGAGTTGACATGTAAAGTCAGAATGTCTGTTGAGGGACCATCAAACTAAAGTGTTTTCAGATATTGAGTAGACAGTCTACTTGTACTTTATGACTGCTAGTTGACATGTAGTTGCAAAGTTACTTAGTAGAATGTAAAAGTGGACCATCAAAATAGCTTTATACCCACTTTTCTCATGATTTTACTAGTAAGGCTCACTAGCAAAAAACTTGTAGTAATTTATGTATTTATTGAATGCATTATTATTTTTGCTTAATCTAACTTTATTGAATCTATATATATATATATATATATATATATACAGTATATATATTATACCTGCTCCCTCCCCATCTCTCTATTCACCTTGCGTGTGAGTTAGTGTCAAGGTAGAGTGTGATCACCAGCTGAAATCCCACATCGCTGCCCAGCTCAGTTGGAGCAGGCAGGGAGCTCTCACAGTGCAGCGGGCATAATGCCAGCCCCCCCTCTTGTATTGAGATTGACCTTCAGGTTTCTTTGCTTGCAAGCACAGGGAGATTTGTGTTTATTGGGGAATTATTTCATAGTAAGGGGCATTTTGGCAGATTCTCTGACATACTTATTTAAAAGTATGCATACACAAGGGGCTGCGCTCTCAGGCCATGGCACAAAACATGTGCTCACCAAAACCCTTACAAGCTAAAGGTGTGATGTACAGGGAAGGAAGTGTTGCACTGTCTGATTGCCTAACAGTGCTTTAATGTTTAATGCAGTGTTTGTTTATTAGCCCAGCATTTGTATAAGCCAGAGAAAAGTATAGATAAAATAATAGATTTTGAATAGGATACAGTAGATAAAAACAAGAAAATACGTGTCATGGCCTGGTTTTACATATTTATACGTGTGTGCGTGTGTGTTTTATTATATATATATATATATTTTTTTTTTTTTTTTTTTTGGGGGGGAGGGTGCATATTTATGTATTATGCAACAGGATGTGGCATGTCATACCTCTGTTTTACTTTTAATATCTCACACGTTCCTCTAACCCAAAGAGAACAGACTTCCTTTATAATGTGTCGATTTTATTTGCCTTTTTTTTCTTTACCCTCTCTTTAACATACAGCAGATTCATCTGCTGTCTTCTTTCAGCAAGCTCAACCAACCTCTAAACCACCTACCCACTGCAATTTTGAGTTAAACTTGAATTACAGTAATCAACAATAACATCTCAACTGTGAAAGAAGGTCGACACAATCGCTTTTGTCTTTGACACTGCACTTGTTTAAACACAGAGAGAGATAGATAAAAAGGGGAAAAAAAAACTTGCCTCAGAAATGTCCTCTAAAGGGCCTTTTCCTCTCCTCTCAATAATCAACCTTAACTATCCTTATGTGCAATAGAATTTCCAGCCTCTGTACATCTCTTCCACCTCTTTCCTTCTCTCTTTTTTAGTTTATTATATTTTCCCCCATTCTCTTTTATTTCTTATTACCATTACAAGATTGGCTTGACTGAGGAGGGGATCTATTGTTATTTCAGATTCCACAGTCTGAATTGGGCTTCATAAACAAGGGGGGCTCATTCCTGATAGTGTTTCTGAATTCATTATTGTGTGATTTTGAGTGACAGCTGAGAGAGAGAGAAAGAGAGAGAGAAAGGAAGTCTTTAACAGAAACACAGTGAATGGAAAAAACAACATTATATATAGACACACATGCTGATCAATGTTAAGTGTGTGTGTGTATACTGTATATATATATATATATATATACACACACACACACACACACACACATGCCCAGAGTAGTAGCTTGACAATGAATTTAGATTGACTATACACTTTCAAACTTTTCTAGTAAGATTCACAAATAATTTCATGCAAAGAGCACGTAACACATTAAATTAAATGTGAAATTTTGAAAACACTTAAATAGTATTCTTGTAATTTGTTTTTTCAAAAAACGCCAGTAATCTTTGCTCTTTTAAAGTGTATGTATAGTCAGTGCACATGAACATTTCCTGTGTGACACCCATGAAATGCTTATGAGGATCAGACTCCTCCTTTGTATTTGATTCGAGACATCCTTAGACGTGTTTCTTGTACGACTAACTTGAGAAAACCAAGTGAAAAAGCATCCTTTTTTTCTACTGCCTGATCTCCGTTGCTTAAGGCTTTAAAACCTGCCTTGTCTTTTTCCTCCAGTTGAGAATCCCCCATGTCTAAATATTGTTAAGAGGAAGAGCATTTTAACATGGCAAGGATTATCAGTATATCCCCAGGTCTTTACGGCTTGCCGCCGTTTTGGGCGAAACACTTGCTCCATACAAATTGAAATTGGATTTGCCAATGGATGCCTTAGGTTATAAAGCATGGATATTCATCTAATTACA